AGTTCCACCTTCAGCTAGCGATTGTGATTTTATTTGTGTCAGAGCAGTATTCTGGTAGCGATATGCGCTACTGAGTGGCATTAGATATGGGCCGTTTACTGAGTGGATTATAAACGCCGTGCTTCGTGAGCTAAGCGCCGTGTGTCATTGGTAGTAGTGAGGCAAGGCCTGAACAAAGAAACCGACAACTGTGACGGCAAGCCTGAGAACAGCAGTGAGTCAAACGCGTATGAGACAGTGAGATCTGCATAGGCAAGAATAGGATAATGCGCTCCATTAGGAGCTGTTTCCCAACTTTGATATCATATATGATTAATGACTTACATGATTATGATTGATAATCCTAAGTGCTCTACCCCTAAACCCTAACCCTAAAACTCTAACACTAAATGACAGTTAAACCACAAACTAATATATATGCACCATGGGTATGACCATATTAAGTTAATAATATATATATATATATAATAATATATATATATATATATATATATATAGTATCCTAATATATGTGATTATGACCATTAATGAAATTAAAGTTGGAACACTCCTAATGGAGTATCACCCCAAGAATAGGAAAAGTGTCAGACATCAAAGTCAGTCAACAGCGATGTCAGCACAAATGGTTCGATCTTACTTTAGGACCACGGGGATTAGATTAGGGTTAGAGTTATCGGTAGGGTTATGATGATGAAGATTTATATGTACGGCGGTCCCAGCGGAGCGAGCATAAACGAACGGTCGGCTGGCATGGGTCTACAGTAAGCTGTGATTTATACCGACTAAGCTCGCTCACGTAGTGTGTAGTATACTTACTACCCACCAACCATTCTGCTGTGTTGCTCTGTGCGTTCACAGACGGACACACACACATTGCCAAATAAAAGCCAGCTGTTTCCTTGGCTTCTCAAGTAGAGCGACAGAACGAGAAGGGAGCGGACTGAGAGGGAGATGGGCGTGAGACGTACAGCAATGTTACGTGATGTGTGATGGTGGGGTGGGGCACGGGGAGTGGGGAGGGGGCAATAATACTACCATGTCACACTTCACTGATCGATGCCGCAGTGTTTATTGCCATATCCGCAGGGCTAACTTTCTACGCAGTTTTCCCCGCCTGGTTTTGCACTGACGAGTGTTTAAAGTATTTGATCTTACAGTATCCGCAATCTTGAATGTTTAGGTAGGGTATCACACTGGATTGAAATC